AGTTTTCCAGGAGGTGGGAGGTGGCTCAGGCATCCCAGGAGAAGCAGGGCAGTCCAGGCCTGGGTGGGCCCTGGGGCCTGACCAAGAATGGCCGGGGGTACCAGGACTCCTCTGCCCCAGCACACAGTTTTCGGAACTCAGAGGTAAACGGCAGGTGAGACTGGAGAGATCCCTTTGTCCAGGTTTTTATGTAATACACAAAAACGGCGTTCCACTGGAATGGGAGTAACAGCTGACCCCGTGGTTCTGCTTTCATTTTCTATATTCCCTCACAGTCCTTGTCCATAGACATATTTTTAATCGCAGCCCAACTGCAGTTTTGTTTACAGCTTTATTTATTATACTGTAAACATTTTCACTGTTGCTACAGAGTTTCATAACTATCATTTCAATGGCTGCATAAATTGGCCATTAAGTTGATGTTTGTTTTTAACTTTATGTAATTTTTTTCACCTCCAGTTTATTGAGGAATAATTAACATACATCATGGTATAAGTTTAAGGTACACTAAGTTGATATTCCTTAATTTATTTAAACATCCCCTTTTGTTAGAGGTTTAGATTGGTTTCTGTTTCTGGATATTTTAAATCATATAATGTTGAACATCTTGAAGTAGTTTTTTCCTTCTAATGAATTATTTTGGAAAAGTGAGATGATTGGGCCAAAGACCACTGGCATTTTCACGGAACTGAGAATGGTAATGCCACCCTGTTCTCTATGAGCTGTGCGAGGTCAGTTTTACTGCCACCCAGCAAGCATTGGGCATTGCAGTGACCAACCTTTGTTTTTCCTTGTTGCTATTTTTAATAGATGTGAAATGACTCCCCATTTTAGACTGTTTTTGTTTTTAAATTTATTGATTTTAGAAAGAGAGGAAGGGAGGGGGGGAGAGAGAGAGCCAATAATCGTGGTTCGCGTACTGATGCGCTCATTGGCCTCTCGCAAGTGCCCGGACCTTGGCGTATGGGGGTGATGCTGCCAGCAGCCGAGCTACCGCAGGGCCGCGCTTCGGGAGTGGGAAAGGTGGAGCTTCTGGGGCTGCTTAGGGCGGACCGGCACACGCCGAGTCCGGGGAGTCCCGTGCAGTTCATTCAGCTGCTGGCACCTGGAAGTTTTCACCATGATTTGTGAGAACTCTGTATTACAGAGTTATCAACACTCTGCCAGATGCATTGCCGCAAACATTTTCCCCAGACTGTTTTTATTTTAGTTATCTTGTTTCTTTTCTACAAAGCTTTTATATCATTGAATCTGTTATCTTTTTATTTGTACTTTCTCTTATCAGTGTGAAACTTGAAAAGTTATCACTCTCTCCAAAGAACAGCCCAAAGTTTTCCTGCCATTTTTCTTCCATTCGACTTTTCTATTTGAGTCTTTAATCTCTCCAGAGTTTCTTTCTGTTGTGTGAGGTAAAACTGTTTCTGAATTAATTACCTTTTGTCGAAACTACCGGCTATCGCAGCACAGTTTATTCATCAAGAGTTTCTTTCTACGTTATTTGGTGAGATCTTTCTCATAATACATTAAATTCTTATGTACAATAAGGTCTGTTTATGGGTTTAAAAATTCAGGTCCATATTTCTACTTTTGTGCCAGTTCTTTACTTATAGTACTTTACTTATTGTTGCTCTATAATACAGTTTTAGGTCCAGTTTCTTCTCATTGTTTTTCTTTATAGAATTTTATTTAATATTCTCATGTTTATTTTCAAAACAACTTTAGAGTAATTTTATTTAATTCCTTGAAGAAATCCTTTTGAGATTTTAATTAGGGGTGAATTAAATTTATAAATTAACTTTTAGGAACATTGTCACTTTTATAACACAGTCTCCCCATCTGGGAGTAGTTATTTCTGTGTACTCTGGTCACCTTTTGTAGCTCCCAGTGAAGCCTGGCAGTCTCCTTCAGTAGGCTACACTCGTCTCTAGGTAGCTTTACTCCTAAGTAGCTATACTCTGTTGCCTTTGTGAATGAGATCGTCCTTTTCACTCTTTTATATTTATGCCTGGCTGGAATAGAGTAGTAAATAATTAATTTTTAAAAATTATACTTTTGCCCTGGCCAGTGTGGCTCAGTGGTTGGGACGTTGGCCCCTGCACCAAAGGGCCTCGGGTTCGATTCCTGGTCAAGGGCATGTACCTGAGTTGCAGGTTCAATCCCCGGCCCTGGATGGGGCTTGTGCAGCAGCCAATGATGTCTCTGTCTCTCTCTCTCTCTCTCTC